CTTCATTACCCATTCAAGCCGGCTCCAGCCATTATTAGTCTCAAACGTGGGTTCCTCGTCATCGAAAGTACTACTAAATAGAGCGTATATCATCATATCTCATACTGTAGTATTAATTTTAATATTGAGTATTTTTCTACGTTTGAATACTTTATTTTTATGCTCTTCTTTTCAGAAGATTTTGTTTTTCTAATTAGCCAAGAGTTTTAACTGAACAAAATATCGATAGAAGATGTTTTAACACAACACACCGTTAACACCAGATAGGAAGACATAGGGTTTTTTGTTTTTTTGCCTTTAAGCCCAAGCTATACAACTGGAAATATCTACGCTGTGTCCACCGCGGGTATTGGATCTTTAGTTTTAGTGTTATTAGCCCTCAGGCTTACCGCTGGAGCTCAAAGTAGGAGCAGAGCTTATGTATATTCAAAAAACTTTGATCAACGGCCAGTATTAGAAGGAAAAAAATGGAGAACCAAAATTATTTCATTTGATTTGTGTTTGTATTAAATGTAATTTGCAAAAATGATGGTACTCCGCCTCATTTACAAAATGTATAATTACTAATCTTTAAATATATTTTACAATAATTATCATGGCCATTATTAATGGTGATCCAATGCGTAGAGATAAAAAACAATGAGTTTTAACAATTATTTAAGACAAACTATCTTCATTATTCAAAATATGTAGTTTGAGAACAATAAATCAAACCACACTTTCAATATCTTCACCATATTGAAATTTGATTGCTATACGGTGTTATTAAGATGTTGACTTTCATAAAGTTTCTGATTTTCATGTTTTGCCCTATTATCATTCTAGAAACGCTTGTACTTGGACGAGTGTTGCGTGAAACTGCTATACAGTCTACCTACTTTCCTTCATCACTTAGTTTTGATTCAACATACATATAGATTTTGTACTTAAAATGTATATATTAAAATGTTTACAAAAGTTTGTCGACATGTGAATGCCGTAAACTAAATTATTAATCTATGCATATATTTTTGAATATGAGTTTCGAAAATAATTATTTTTTGTTTGTTTGTCGTTAAACACAAAGATACACAATGGGCTATCTGTGCTGTGCCCATCACGGGTACAGAAATTCAGTGTTTAATTATATAAGCCTTTTAGACTTGTCGCTAAGCTGCTGGCGGGCGTGCTCTTTATGATTTCGTGTTTTCGTTCTATACTTTGGTTTCACATTTGGACTAGAAATGACATTAAAAACATTAAGTAAGATGACTCTCTGGTGCCATTGTAATTATTTTATCTACATTTAAACTCAACTCACGTTTGTATGACGTAGCGCCGTTAGTAACGTCACCGGAAATTATTGAATTTAACATTTAAGTATAACGAGATATGAATGATCATGAGCAAGAAAGACTGACGTTAAACGAATTCTATAGCATGTGCTCCCCTTGACTGATTTTCACTGTATATTTCTTTTATGAGTATTGTCTTATTTAAAGTTGTAGATGACAAATTACGAGCTTAACTTTAACTGATATTCCGTTCATACAATTTAAAAACACTAATCGAAGTAATTATACGATCACTTTTAATCAGAAACGTGGAGTGACAGTACATTTACACGGATTACAAGTAGTTTAGTCTTCAAAATAATAAAAAGTAACATTTTTAGGACATTAAAGTACCTTCACTTTATTTTAAGTAGACATTTATCACTCGTGATTATTCATATTTTACTTTATTGCAGATCCAAACTAGTTAGGAAAAACTTTAGAATTTTCTTTTCTGATTTAGAAATATTCTATTACAGACACTGCTATATCTTATTATCTTTCAAAAATTGTAATAAAAAATTTTATCTGTAAATTGCAACAGTTCTTTCTAGTGGATGTATATATGTATGAATTGTTTAACTTTCTGTATCAGATTTATATATTACTTTCTTTTTTTATAATGTCTAAATGTTTTGTCTCAAATCAACATTTCATATCTAAGATATTTGAAATGTTCTACTCATGAACAGCATACCAAGCATCCTTATACTAAGAACCATTTAATTAGTACGATATGAGCCTAAAAAAATCAGCTTTTTTCGTGAGATGTATTTCATAAATTATCTGTTAATATTATCTACTAAACAATATGCAATAATCAGAAACGTACTTGATATTCTATAAATCATAGGCAAACGTAACTTATCTGATTCAATAGGATATACTTTATTGTTGAGTTCGATTGTTAAACAAAAGACTTTTGTACCTCCTCTGAAGACTACTTTTTAAATATAATATAATTTGTCATTTAGTTCACTTGTTAACAATAGACGTTTCTATTTCTTTTAAATGCAATTGAAAATAAAAACGATTATTCTTCGAACTTTTTTAAATGAAAATTGTTCCGTAAAACTTTTATTTCATATTTTAAGTAAAGCCGTTTAGTGTTATTATTTCTATTTTGGTATCATGTGATTTTTACTGCTTTATATGTTTCTTTTACAAATCAAACAAACAGGAAAAAAAAAAACTCTAGTGAACTCTTTAGCCTAACGAAATGTGTTTTCCTGTATCACCTGATAGATCTCTCTGGATTTCAGGTGATAGGAGAGGAGTAGATACGAATGTTTATGGTTTCCTTTGTGACCTCTGATGTGACCTCTACTTGGATTAAATTGGAACAATTAGTTCCTCTTTTACAGAGATTCTTACCTCTTTTCTACATATATTCAGAATTTGTCACCCTATAGCTAAATTTGTTGTTTATCTTTTTGTTTTGCAATCTACTAACTACCACGTATAACACTTAACTTAATGTTTTAGATATAGAACTATATTCTTACTGTAATAGATAGGAAGAAACAATGAAAACAAGGCATGATGGGGTGGGGTCTTTCAAAACTTAATCTCATAAAGACATTCATATACAATTTACAAGTGAAATTAACTCATTATGACTTGGAGAATGTTTTAACTAAACGGCTGTATTCGTCGGAGAACAGTAATATTAAACGCTCTTTAAATACCACAAAATATATCGTGTTTATATACTCAGGAATCCGTGATAAGACTTCAACTGGAATAAACTGTCCTTATTCATGGAAGAGTATGATTAAACTATATAAAAGTGGCAAATAAAATCGCCGCCTGTTTCTATGGAATCTGGCTATTAAGATTTCTCTAACATTATTTTGAAGCAATGCGAAACTACAGAGCATTATACAAAATGCAAAACGAAGATGCTAGAATTACATGTAATTCTCACAATGTATAATGGTGTGTACAAGACATTAAAATATTTGAAACGAAACAGAACTCGACCTTTACATCATCACAAACATTTGACACTCCAATATGCTTTTTATTTATTTCGATAAGATGCTTTAAGTGATATAGGGCCATTACTTTGGCACGTTTGTTTAATGTCCACCGTTTATTCAGAGCATTCCTTGAAATGTGTCATAGCTAAGTCGATAAACAATTTTTATTAAATAATTCCTTTACATCTTTTTAACATATATTATTTTCTTCAAGTTAGTAGGAAAGTTCGCTCTATTAATAAAAAAGTTGCTTGAAATAACTAATCTTCATAACTTTCCTGTAAACAAACCTTAAATGTATCATCACTCAAGAAAATAAATCCAGCGAATATAAAAGTAACTTGAGAAAAAAAAGGGAATGCTTCATGTGTTAGAAATAAAGAAAGAGTTTTAAATCGATTAAATGGCCATTTTCGATATTTAATTTTGTGCTAACTTTTTTAAAAAAATGAAACTCACTGACTGTTTGAGTAAAAAATAGGTCTACGTACAATATGTATTCTGTTTACACTGATGTCTTACGTGTAATATTTTCGTTTCCATGTATAATATTTTAAACTGTTTCGAAACCTACATAAAACCACTACCACGTGCACACGGAACTTTGTAAGCTTCAGTAAATACATGTTATTTCGCCCAATCAAAAGCCGTGAAAAAATAATCACATTAGTTTCGTCACTGATCGCATGCTCTTTTGTTCTTTGCTAATAAGTGGCTATTTCAAAATAAAGTATTACATCAAGAAGTCCGATAGCACTCATTATACGGATTTGTACTTATTGTGTTACCTCGAAGAAGCATTTATTAATTTCGTGAAGACTACCTAGTAACCCTTGTAATTATTAAACACTTAATAATTGTTGCATTAACTTCGACTAAAGGTAATTACGTAAGAGGATATTAATTAACCTACAGTGAATCCATCTTGTTAATTTCCGCCGGATTAGTTATTGGGAATAGCTTGTTTCTTTTCCATGATACTAACTTTAATAACTTTAAGATCCTACAGTTTGATCTGAATAATTTATCAGTTTTCATATCTATAAATGGGATACTTTAAAAACATTGCATCGTTAACGGTTTTATATGAATTTAACCAAGAAGATATGCAAAAACATAAAACGTCTAACTTATAAAATCAGCAGCACTTTTAACTAAGCTTTGGGTCCTAATTTAGGAGTAATATCTATATTTAATTTATCCGAGAAGGTAAGAGGTAAATTTATGAACCAACGCTAAAATCCGGGGTTCTATTCCTCGCGGTGAACTGACCGTAGACAGCTCATTGTGTATCTTTGTGCTCAAAACAAAACACCAACAACAAACAACATCGTAATTCATATGGTAAATGACTGACCATTTTATTCTTACATCGTGTCATGAGTGTTTGTTTTTTTATTTTACATATTTCTTTTTTACTTTTTCGTTAGGTTATCCAATTTGATTTTCTGTCAAAGCGACGCAATCATAGCTGACCCTTTGATAGAGCTGAAATTTCATATCTATCTAGAAACGCTAAGAAATCGTATTGTCAGCTTTATTCCTCACACTATTTGCCAAATTCACTATAGAAATGATGACAAAAAGACAGTTTATTCAAGACACAGGTGACGCTGCAAGTCTGTCTTGATATTGATCATCTCACCAACAGCTTGCCTTTCTCACGGCTGGTCTCATCACGACATTTGAGTGAGAAACCACTGGGAGGACAAGCCGCACTTACGTAGATACTTAAGTTCTAGTGTAATTTTCCCTCAGTGTGACATACGTTCTTTGGTTAATTTTTGTAAAATACTAACTAAGATGATCCACAGTATTGAGATCGTATTGTTCTGCGTAAATTATGCTTGAAAATACGTTCTTTTGTTTCAGAAATACTACGAGATGAAACTGTTAGTTACCTATATGGTCACCATCGCGACCTGTTTAATTACTTATTATTGTCACGATATTCAATTAGAAGGGAACCCGCCAGAAAAAAGTAAGTTTATTTCATTTTGTTTTACAAGTATTGTTATATTGAGAGAAATATTTTATACATCTATGTATGAGTGTGTGTGTGTGAATGCTTTCTACAGCTTTATTAGGTGGTGCTTGAAAGGTATTTTTTTGTTATTTAGAAAATTACAAGTCTAATACATATCAAAGGTATTTAGTAATTACTACTTTGAATTCGACAATGTTTCCTTAATCCAAATAATCATTATTAATCATGATGGCTTAGAAACTTATGTCGGATATATTACTATTGCTCACTCTAAACGCAACCTTTATATTTGAAACCGATATTCCTTATGAATTTTTGAAAAAAAATATTGTGATTTTTATGAAATTGTATAATGAAATATTACGTAGCAGCATAGAAAAAATTAAAACAAGAAATAATGAACATCTGGAAACATACTGTAGACGTTACGCTGTTACCAATACCGACAAGTTATGTTCATGGTGTAACATTGTTTTTAATAGGATATTCATAATAATACTTATTATTGTTTTAATAGGCGTTTGTTCCTTGTTAGGAGAAATAGTTCTAAGTTTGCCTGTTCATGATGAATGTCATTTGGTACGCCAAAGTTGATGAATAAATAAATAACTCGTCTTCTCTGTACTTCATACTTTTTTCAGTGTAAAATGTTAATTAAGAAGGTTCTTATCACACGTAATTACTGACTCTTCTAATAGTAAGCCTATTTTTTAAAATTATAATGAACAAGTGTCTAACCATACAAACAGAAATTCAATTTAACACAATACGTTTGCATATTTTCATATAATTGGAACTTTTCTTTAAATTACATCTGCATCGAAAAACAAAAATCCCCGCAAGTATGAAGTAGATTATTTTTATAAATTTCAGGCAAACATTTTACTAGCGTTCCGGAACAAAGTGTCTTGAAAAAGTCATGTGCTTTTAGCCACACTCAATGTAGGCAATAGTTTGTTAATTACAATGATCGACTATTGCAAAGAAATATTGAATAGTTTGTTCAAAAGTAATAATTAATTATTTTTCTCTTTCTAGTGTGTAGTATGCAAATAAGAAGGTTCGAAAAAAAACATTGAAGTTTGCATTTGATTTAGAAAAATAAAATTAAACAAAATAGCAACAAGTTTTTATTTAAGGATATTTTTTTTGTTAAAAATCCAGCATCAGCTGTTTAAGAAAAGAGTGTTAAGATAAGGCTGAGTGGTTTGGTAGGAGACATTCTTCTAGTTTTTGAATGCAGTGTGCTCATTTCTTAGCTATAACTATTTCTTCTTCGAAACTTAACAATTATCCTAAACTATAAATGTATGCAAAAGTACTGAGTTATTCCAAATTCTAAATTAATTGGCAAGTATTTAATGAAACTTTAATTGCAAGAATCCGGCAATATCTAGTCATTCCTAAAATTTCGATCTGTTTTCCTAAATCTTTCATATTTTAATCTTCGTGTTCTGATCTTTTCATTTAAATGATAAAATACTTGTAATGCTGTAAAACGCTCTTGGTAGTATATTTCAAGGACTGGGAATACATATATAATGGTACTTGCAAGGATCTCACAATGAACAGAAACTATCTAGTAAAAAAAAACAAAAACATATTACTTGTTTTTAAATAATTAACATTCGTTTTAGAAAACAAACAGTCTTTCTTCTATTTGTGAACAAATATAGAATTGCTGTGAAAATAGATTTAAATATACGGTGGCATAACTCTCAAGTTTTATTTATTTCAATTCAACTATACTGTTTCTTTAAAAACATTATAAATTATTTACTCAATAAAACTTGTATATTTATAACTTTGCTTGTTACAAAACATACTTGATTTCTTCCGTTCTTAACAGATTTATATAACGGAAATTAACGCGGAACATAGGAAATCAGAATAAACAGGAAGTACACGCATATCAAAGAAAATAGCTCCGGTGATCAGCGAAAACGTCCATCTTTGCTTGCATGCCGCCAAAAGTCCTTGAAATATTAACATGTTGATAGCTGTATTCTGTGGTCATTCGTTCTGTAAATGACAAAACAGACTACATATATATATTCGAAGCTTGATGTAAGATATTCTAACTTTTATAAGAATTACAGCATTAACTATAGTATATGTTTTGTTCGATTCGTATTAAATGAAGTAGCCTCGTTTGAGCTACTATATTGAACACTTAACATTCTTAACTGTTTTGTTTTTTGTATAACGCTAACTCTCAACTAGTTCCATGGATTATATATCTTTTGTTGGAGATAATTAAAGACTGTATGTATGTATATATATATATGTCACCCATTAGTAACAGTTAGCGCTCTAAGCATCCCTGAAACTTTGCTTTCCTGTTTGCATCTGAACTAATCAATTTTTGGAGTTATTGTTTGCTTTTGTCTGGAAGTTTTTGCGATGTCCTTTTCCTTGTATGTTATGATTGGAGTTGCCCTAATCTTCACTACATCGAAAGAAACAATCGATCAGGAAACTTTCTGATATCTGTTAACCTTCCTGTCGACCTGATATCAGCGATTGACGGTCATGGGTTTTCTTCCACTGCTGATTGACTCTGATCACAGATGTCATTGAATAAGCATTCGACAATACGGTATTTTATAACGATACTCCTGCTAGAGAGATAGCTACTACGAAAGTCAAGCTAGATTCAACTCTTACAGATTTTCTTGCCGAGTAGCTTTGATACGATCACAACAAGATAATTGTATGGCTTAAACAATCAACTGACACAGCAGATAATCAGTTCATATTGCATACACAAATAAATGGAACCTTGTATGAGATATGAAAGAAATACTTCATAAAGTATAACTAACATTTAAATGGTTGCACTGTAGTATTTTCTTCCATTGTTAATAAACTTTACTGCAAATTAAAACGGTTACTTTGTTGACGTAAGTAATTTGATGAATGAAAATTTGATATTTTTTGTAAATAGTCACTATATTAGTGGTGTAAATCCACAAACAAACAAAAAAGTATATTATATCGGCTTTCAAACCAACATTTTCCACAGTTTTGAACAATCATGACTGACTCCATTTCTTCGTAAACTAGGCTCGAAACTTTTGATCATCGTGTTTTATTATTGGAGTACGTCTGTGAATACTTCCTCCATTCTTCTGTAAAAACAGTAAATAGTAAGCTAGTTTTAAGAAAACAATATTTACCAATGCTAATATTTTATCGATTATATTGCCATATCAAAAGTTCTTGTACCTGCTATACAAATTATAACAGCGTATGGTCGTAAATAATGAGAGCTTTATGGTAGCCTTCGATTTTGCTATCGCTTTAAAGATACATGCACACAAATTCTTCGTAGCATGCAGTCTTTATAATCTTTATTGACTAAACTTAATCAACATGGGTATAATATTGTTCACTAGTTATTAATGAACATATTTGCGTTCTATTGAATGGGAAGGCTACGCGTTTCAATAAACTATGTGTTGGGAAAATAGCATCCCAATTATTTACTTTCAGCATTCAAGTAAATATGTTTCAAGCATATATATATACACAAATTAAAAAATGTACCCATTCAGTCTGCTATGGTGCTGTTTGATGTAAATTGTCTTATTTTTTATAAGGTAGGCGTGTATGTATATATTTTTGTCTGACCAGTTGGATTAAAAAATAGTAACAACATTAAGCAGTACTCCTGGGGATTCATTGCTTCAAGAATTATAAATCAATTGTTGTAATATAAGGATCGAATCAACAGAATCAATTGAATCAATCGAAAAAGTGTTTTGAAACTCTCTTTATCGATTATGTTATATATCCATGGAAGTGTATATCAACTTTATTTAGTTGGGTACTTAAGAAAGGTATAATATTGTAGACGTATTTGGAACCCGATCTGATTTGTTTTGTAATATGTATGCGTGGATTTGATTACTATTTGAACGGTAATTAACACTGTCATATGAATTAATCTACCAATTTATTACAGTGTAATTTACGTTTCATATGAAATGATCCAACTAAGCAATCTAACTTTAGATTATCAAGCATAGAAATGAGACCGAAACAAAATTTTGATGTTATCAACGGTTCAATGGTTGGTTGTCATGACCAATGAGAAATGTGCCGTTGATTCACGTCTTAAACAAATAACAGTACTGTATTTCGTGCAAGGAAGTTTAGGCGCAAAATTTTTATTGTAAATGAATAAGGATTCTTTATTTTCTGCTGTTAAATTCGGTAATTATGAAATCTAGCTATTAAGTATTCAAACTCAAGTATTTTTTACAAGAGTGAAGAATATACTTACCGACATATATATTAATTTCAAAAATATAGATCAGACATCTAGAAGGAAGGACTACTCAATGAATAATTTAAACTGCTGAATCAAATATTATTATAGATGTTGTTAAGGTAATGGAAATATAACTTTAGTTAGAACATTGCAACCAATATCTAAAAACTAGTTTCACTTTAAGCACTCGAGCATATACCAGTATGGGATTTGTCTTACACTATACGTATATTAGAATATATATTTCAGTTATTGTACAAAATTATAATGTTTTTTCTAACAAATATTGTCATAAACATTGCATAATAATTATTATTTGTTGTATTGATTTGTTTTGAATTTCGCGCAAAGCTACACGAGGACTATCTGCGCTAGCCGTCCATAATTTAGCAGTGAAAGGCTACAGCCATCTTTTGGGCTACTCTTTTACAAACGAATAGTGGGATTGACTGTCACATTATAACACCCCGACAACTGAAAGGGCGAGCATGTTTGGTGGGAATAATTATTTATAAAGAATATATTCGAAGTAATATACTATTGAAAAATGTTTTACATAATACTTTAGACGTTAAAAAGTCACGTATTGCAACAGGACTAAACCATTTTCGATCATCATACGACACAATTCTTAAAATATTACTCAGGGATATTTTCTATAGCAAGAATTGCTTTAATATGTTAATTTCAATTATTTTTTGCTACTGGTAAAAGCTCG